TACAATAGCATTGTAAAGACAACTTGGAAAGACTGGGAACTCTGATCAACACAATGTTCAACCTTGATTCTGTAGGATTCACAATGAAAGGTGCCATCCACATCCAGATAGAGAACTAATGGACCCAAGGTACAAATTGTGACTTTTTTAATATACATGACAATGCAGGGATTGTTTTATTTGCATGTTTATTTACAAGGGTATTATTTTTCTTTCTTTTTCAATGGGGAAGGAGAGTAGAGAGAGGGAGAAAGGGCAGATTTTTGTTCATTGAAAAAAAAAAGTTTAAAAAAAAAAGACCTGAATGAGACTTTTTGAGATCAATGAGCCCACCCCTCCATTTTATAAAGCAAAAAATCTGAAGTCCACAGACAAGAAGTTAGTTGCTCAAGGTCACACATCAAGTTAGCAGCAGAGCTAAAATTCAAACCAAAGACCTTAGGTCTACTACATTCAACTGCCTTTCCCTAACACCAAAATCTGAGTCATAGTTTACCTCCTCAGAGCAAATGGGAGCTTCCTTCTCTGTCTCTGTTTCTCCCAGTGTGGCTTTTATCTTTATTTAGAAAACAGTTCACCAGTAACAGTGTGGGAGGACTTGTACCACTAACAACCCATGTGAAAAGGAAACCTAAGAATCTTAGCAGGTAGAAGGGAAGAGTTGCTCATCTCCAGAATTCCCAGGAAGCCTTTTTAGCAAGATAACATATTTCACTTGTCCCAGAGAGTTTTTCTGGATCTGTCTAAGCAAGCAACCAAACCTGCCTGCCAATGATTGGGTATTTGAAAACAGAAGTGATGCAGTAACTCACTAATTAGTTGAGGTTATTTCCCAGACAGGACTCTAACCCAATGAGCCTTTCCCTTCTTTCTCCCAAGGCTCATCTCTTTTCCAGCACTATGCAGACTTCAGAGTCAGAAGGAAAGTCAGCCCCTGAGATGGAGACAAGGACCATGAGAGTGGCTATGGGAACAAGGACTGGGCGCTTAGGTGGGGCAGAAGATGACAGTGCTAGACTTGGAGTCAGGAAGACACTCTTGGTGCAACTAGGTGGCGAAATGGATAGAGTACCGGCCCTGGATTCAGGAAGACCTGAGTTCAAATCTGACTTCAGACACATAACACTTTACTAGCTATGTGACCCTGGGCAAGTCACTTAACCCCATTGCCTAACCAAAAAAAAGGAAGGCACTCCATCAAACACTAGCTGTGTGAGCCTGGGCAAATCACTTAACCTTTCACTGCCTCAGTTTCCCCAACTGTAAAATGGGAATAACAATAGCATCTACCTCCCAGTGATATTGTGAGGTATAAATGAGATTACATTATATGAAGTCCTCTGCAAATTTAAAGCCTATGCTAGTTACTATTCCTCAGGAGAGACCAAACCAGACCAAGCAATTGGGGGCGGGGGAGTAGGGGAATTCTAGACATTCAGATCTGACATCAAGGGTTATGTATAGTCCCCTGAAGCCATTTGGTGAGAAAAGCTGCTGGTCTGGGCCCCTCCAGCTGTGTCTTTCTCTCTAACTTTGTCCCGCATGAACCCATCCAACAAATGCCTGGGTCACCAGAGGCTGAAGGAAATTCATGGTGGCTGAGGGACAGAAGATGTCCTGGGAGCTTGGGGACCTGTGACACTCACTGCCTGCTGCTTCCATCCAAGGTCAGTGGGAGCCTTTCCTTCAGGACCTCTGGTGTTCTCCTAGCTATGGACAGGCTAGGTTCCTCCAGCAGCCCTACACTATGGTCAGTCACTATGGCACTGCCCCAGTTGCACGTGGTGTCCCTTGCTGGTGAACAGATGCAGCCTCATGCACTTCCTAGCTATGTGACCCTGGGACGGTCACCTAACCTCAAATAACAGTACCTACCTCCCAGGATTGTTGTAAGAATAAAATAAAATCATATTTGTAAAATTAGGGCAGGGGGCAGGAGGGGAGGGGAGAAAAAAGAAATAAGAATTTTACATGATAACTTATCTATGTATAATTTGTATATTTGCAGTTTCATGTGCAATTGTCTTTTTTTATTGTGCTATGTTATAGAAATGCTTGTTTTATTCCATAAATTACAAATAAATTTTTTTTAAATAACCTTAAAGCGCTATATGAATGCTAGCTATTGTCATTTGCATTAGAATTCTGGACACACACATTTTCAGGATAGGACCCACCACCTGGCCCTCCTCCTCTTTCGGCAGGAAAGACAGAAGTTTCAAGACTTCCCATTGTACTTGCCAAAGGTTCAGAGGGGATTGGGGGGGGGGAGGTGGCGGCGCAGAAGGCCATTATACGGCTCAGGTGGAGGCCCCAGCCTCCCTCTGCCCCTGTCCCAGGGCTTTGGCTCCAACTTCCACTTTTCTTCTCTGAGAGCCCCAACCACACAGACACCCTTCCTTCTTTCTCCCTTCCCCTTCTCCAAGTGGCCTTCCCTTTCTCAGCAAGCCCCATTCCCTCAGTGGGATGCCCTGAGCATGAGCAGAATGCCACAATTACATCGATCGGATCATCCTTTGGTGCAGCTTCAGCAGCTTCTCCCCATTTTTCTCTTTGCTCCTCAGTGAAAGGAGAATGCCACAATGGAATGATCTACTATGTGACCTCAGGCAAATGACTTTCTCTATCTGGGACTCAGTTTCTTCATCTGTGAAACCAAAGAATTATACTTACTTTTTCCCACCTATTAATTTATTTTTGAAAAATTAAATTGTATTTTTTCAATGAACAAAAATTTATTTGAAAATATTAAATTGTATTTTTTCATTGAATAAAAATTGATTTCCCCCCCTTCCTTCCACTCCCTACCCATTGGGAAGAAAAAACAAAACCCTTATAACAACCCATCTATTCATTTGTAAACTTCCTGAGGAAAAAGATTATTTAATCTTTGTCTTTCTACAGCAAAACACAATGTACAAAGTAGAAATACAATAAATGTTTAATTTAATTGAAAGGCAATTGAAAGTGCTTGCCTTAGTCATCTACCATCATGAGACCGTGGGCATATCCTTACCTCCCTGAGCCTTAATCTACCTAACTGTTAAATAGGAATGAAAATACTTGCACTACCTGGAATTTTTTTTTAGGAAGATTTTTGTAACTTTAACATACCATAAGTATTTTTTTAATAATTTTTATTAAGTTTTTATCTCACCAGTATTTCCCAATATATCCCTCCCTCACTTCTCAGAAAGCATCCACAAAAAGAAGAGGAAAAAAAAGTTCACCTACCAGCACATAAACCAAATTTATCATCATATGCAGTGTTCCATACCATACGCCCTCATTTCTGCAAAGAAGGGATGGAGGTTCACTCTCCTTTACCTTCACTGGGGCCAGGCTTGGTCATTATGATTTGTTTTGGTGTTTCTACTTGCATTGTTGTAATCATTTCACATAGTGTTTTCCTGGTTCTGTTTGCTTCACCTTGCATCAGTTCAAATAAGTCTTTGGATGCTTCTCTGAGGTAATCATAGCCATCCTTTCATAGAGCTGTTATATTCCACTATGTTTGCCTGTTACAATTTATTTAGCCCTTCCCCAATTTGTGGCTGTCTGCTTTGCCTTCATTTCCTTTACCATTACAAAATGGGCTGCTATAAGCATTTTGATGTATATAGGACTTTTAAAAAAAATTATTGACCTTGAGGTATATGCCTAGTAGTGGGATCTGTGAATCAAAAAATAGAAAGGACCAAGTAGCTCATTTGAAAATGGCTGCACTCCCCCGGCCATTCCGAGGCAGAAGCTGATACCCAACCCTCTCTGCTGAGAATCACGGAATTTTAGACACTAGTGGAAGGCATCTCAGTGACCTTCTACTCCAAACCATGCCTAAAATGGAATCTCTTCTACATCATCTCTGCTAAATAAACTTAGAAACGTGCTTTGAGATGTGCAGGCAACCTGAGGGAAGAGGGATGTCCTGACCTCCTCCAGGGATAAGGACCAGCCCCACCCCCCACCCCCCACCCCCCACCTCCCTCCACTCCAGTTTGTCCCTGGATTCTCCAAGCTGGTAATGCGTCTTGTGTCTTTTCTCTCTTCTCAGCCTACCCAGGCCCCTCCTGTTGGAGTTTAACAAGCAGGATCCTGCCCTCCCCCACAGCCACACAGACAAATTCCATTTGACTCAAACATTTATTAAGTGCCTACTACCCACATCTCTGCCTTCCTGGAATTCAGTCTGAAAGGACACTGCTTCTACAAAAATAAATGTCATACAATGATGGTGTAATGGAGACCAGGCCAAGGACTTTGAAATTGAAGGAGGGAGAGAGCATTTCAAATGGGGTGATCGTGGAAGGCTTCCTGGAGGAGACACCTGAGCTAAGTCTTGAAGGATAGTTCAGAATATGGACTGAGGGAAGAAGAGAACTCAAGAGTCCCTGGGCCCTTAGAGATGAAGAATTCCAACTTCCTCATTTGACAGAGGGGGAAACTGAGGCCCAGAGAGTTGACTTGTCCAGGGTCAGGGCCCATTCCACTGTCCCTCCCTTCCCCAACTCCTCCCCCACTGCAGATGTTTACTGGGCACAACTCTCTGTTAATGTAACTAGTGTGCAAAGCACCAGGCCTGGAGTCAGGAGACCTGGGCCCCAGTTCTACATCAGCCTGTAACTCACCACGTCACCGTGGGAAAGTTGGTTCCCTGTCCTGGATCTGTTTCCTCTCCTGCAAAATGACAGAATGGGGCTCCAGGTTCACTAAGCCCCCTCCTGTGGGTCTTCAATTAAAGCCCAGAAGGACAAGGGCCCCACATGGGACCTGTCCAAGGCTCATCTCAGAGGCTGCCTCTTATCCTGCTCAGGGTCTGGGAGGCTGAACCTCTGGGAAGAGGAGGAAGAGGAAGGGAAGGAGGGGGAGGAGAGGGGGAGGAGGGGGATGGGGAGGGGGAGGAGGGGAAGGAGAGAAGGTGGGGAGGGGGAGGGGGAGGGGGAAGAGGAGGGGGAGGAAGGGAAGGAGGGGGAAGAGGGGAAGGGGAAAGAGGGGGAGGGGGAAGAGGGGGAGGGGGAAGAGGGGGAGGGGGAAGAGGACTCTCCTTCCTGAGGAGGACCGCGGCTTTGGGGCAGAAGCCCCCACAGCTGTGGCCTGTCTGGTCCCAGACATGAGCACCTCAGGGCAGGAGCTCGGACCCTGGACTTGGAATCAGAAGACCAGCGTCTCATTTTTGTAACTGGTTGGACAACCCTAGGCAAGTAACTTCTCCCTTGGCCCCAGTTTTCCTTCTGTATAACACAGATAATAATCCTAGGACTCCCTTCTCAGGAAAGTGCTTTGTACATTTTAATATGCTACAGAAATATGAGCTCTCACCAATCCAGTCCAATGGGGTCAGCCCTTTTCATTTCTATAGTACTTAAGGAAACTGAGGCCTGAGTAGGGGAAGTGACTTACTCAAGGTCACACAACTATTGAGTGGCATAGCCAGGATTTGAATCCAGGCCTGCTGGCTACAAGTGCGAGTGTTAGCTCTACTATATCACCAAGTCTCAGGAGAATAGTAAGAACAGGGCTCATTTCTCTAGTGCTTTAAAGTTTACAAGGTTTAGAGGAAAAGATCCTGGGACCTCTTCCCACCCCCCCCCCAAACTCTGGAGAGGTAGAAATGGAGCTGCGAAGGCCTCCTGAGCCATCCACCCACAGCCCTGAGTTTCTGCAGGGCCTGCTTAAGCCAAAAGGAAAATAAACCCTCAGGCCCCATTCCCATAACTAGCCAGAGGCTAGCTGCCTCTTAGAGGTTCCCAAGTCAGGACAAGGGGTGCTTCTGGCCTAGTTCACCAGCCCTTTAGAGAGGGCCAAGGAAGATGTCCCAGGGCAGGTGCCTCAGCGGGAAGCTGGTGTGTTGTCTGTCGATGGGGAGAAAGGTTGGAGCTGCTTCAGGCCCTGGCCCCGCTTAGCCTTCTTGTTCCAGCCAAGGAAAGCCCCGGGCAGCGTGACCTGTCCGCCATTTTCCTTGTCACTGCGAGAGAGCCCAACAGAGGACAAGGTAGTCACCTTCTTATCCACCTGGTTATAGACAGAGAATGGCAGTGAGACAGTCATCCCCTCCTCCAGGGAGTCACCTCTTTCTCCTCCTATCCCCCACCCCTCCTCTCCCACCTATCATCCCCAAGATCACCCCTTGAATCTTTACACAAGGACCTGGCAAAGATAATATTTTAAAGGAGTAAATCCCAATCAGTAGATGATACCCTTATATAATGGGTCATCTAAAACCAACAGATCATCCTTAAGCCAAAAAAATTATCCAGAACCATTAGAAAATGTCACACAACGAATAAAAAGGTTAATGGGCTTTAAAAAAAAAAAAAAGATTCTGCTTTGAAGCCAAAAGGAACTATGGGTGAAAATTAGAGACAACTTTTGGTTTGATCTAATTCTACAGCTTCCTAAGAAATATTTTATTCGAATGGGCTACTTTGGGGAGTACTGAGTATTCCGCCAAAGGAGGTCTCCAGACAAAGGCTGCATGATGCCACCTGTGGGGGATGGAGTAAAGTGAATCCTGTTCAGGTGCAAGCTGACTTGGAGCCCTATGATTCTGTAATTAAAGGAAGCTCCCTTCCTCTCTCTGGGACTCAGCTTCGTCCTCTGGACTGAGAGGTCTCCAGGCTGTCTGGCCCCCATTGCTATAAGGTGTCACCAGCTGGACCTCCTCTCCCTCTAGAAAACCTTTCACAGAGGAGAGCTCCCTGGCTTTGGGCCCTCCCCTACAACCTTCCTTCCCGTCCTGGGGCTCAGGATTACCAGGCCAAGCGGCTCTTCTCGCTGGGGTGTGACCACCTCAATGTCCACACCTTCCTCTCCCACGCCCGTTAGCAGGGCCACCACCTCGGAGTGCTTCCCCCACTTGCAGGGCTCCCCATTCACGGAGACAATGTAATCACCCTCCTTCAGTCCAGCTGCCTGCAGAGAGCGGGGGGGTAGACGGTAAACCACTAGGGAAAGTAACCCCTGTCCTGAGGTGGCTGGCTTCCCCTGGGCCGATTTGTGATGAGCTCTCTGCCAATGGGCAGTACTATTTCCCAGACTCAGCCAAAGCACCAGCCTACGTGGAGCTGGGCCCTTCCAGTCTATTTGCGAACAGCATTTTCAAACATGGGGTGTGGCCCTGGCTTTGCTGATTAGGCAGTGACTTTGGCCAGATCCTCACCCCTTCAGATTCTCTGTGGGGTGGTGGAAAAAGCCCTGGCCTGGGAGTCAAGAGACTTGGGGACTAGTTCCAGCTCTCTCTCACTGACTTGCTATGTCAGCCTTCAGTAAGTTACACCCCCTCCCTAGGCCTCAGTTTCCTAATATGTAAAATGAATAATTCCTATGTCTACAAGGCTTTAAAGTTTACAAAGCACTATCCCCCACAACAACCCTAAAAGGTAGGGACAAACAAGTGTTTTGATCTTCATTTTACAAATGAGGACATATCCTCAGAAGACACAGGAAAGTGACTGGTCTAAAGTCACGCTGCTTATAGATGTCAGAGCCACAACACAAACCCAAGCCTTCTGACTCGTACCAACAAGCTTTCCATCAGACCTTTCCAGATGATTCCTGTGGTCCTTCCTTTTTTTAAAATTTCATTTAATTTCAGTTCCAAATTCTTTCTCCCTCCACATTTCCCTATCCATTGGGAAGGCAAGAAATACGATACCCATTATACATATTAAATCATGCAAAACATTTCTGCATTAGCCACAAGGTCCTTCCCTTGAACAATTAAACCCAAGCTAAGCTTACACACAGCGGCTAAGTGGCACAGGAGATAGAGTGCCAGCCCTGGAATCAGGAGTTCAGACACTTACTAGTTATGTGACCCTGGGCAAGTCTCTTAACCCTGACTGCCTCCAAAAAGAAAAAAAAAAGATGTCTCTGAACTTGTTTTTAGGGGCAGCTAGGTGGTACAGTGGATAGAGGACTAGCCCTGGAGTGAGGAGGATCTGAGTTCAAATCCAGCCTCAGACACTTTATTAGCTGTGTGACCTTGGCTAAGTCACTTAACTCCAACTGCCTCCCCCCAAAAAATAAATAAATAGATAGATAGATAGGTAGGTAGATAGACAGATAGATAGATAGATAGATAGATAGATAGATAGATAGATAGATAGATA